TGGCTCGAGGGGGAAGAGGAGAGTAAAGAGAGCAGGAGGAGGGAAGAGGCAGCCGGGGTGACATCCACCCGCACCCCCTCCCGCCCAGCTGGCCCATGACTAATTTAGGCAAAAGGCAGCGTGGAGCTATTTCCATCCAGAGGGAACAGGTGCGGGGAGTGGGAGGCGGGGGGGTGCTTGCTCCCACCCCGTGGGCCATGCTGCCAATTGGCGGCGTGTGGCCTCCCTCGTGGCGGCCTCTGGGCTGCCCGGGCCTATAAAGGTGCCAGGTTTTTCTCCTGGGCGCGCCCATCTGGCTGGGCGCAAGCCCAATTTTAAATTTCCAAACGGAAATTACTTTTCCCCCCCCCGCTATACTCAGTGTAAAACCAAAAGCCAGTGGGGAGAGAAGACTTTCTGAAGCCCAGACAGCCCCTTCTAACAGCCTGGGACCATCTTGGCGGGAAGGTGGGGGGGACACCCTACCTGGAGGCAGACAGTGGGCAGGTGGGGCAGCCCCCGGAATGGCATTCCGGTGTGACTGCTGTCAGCACCTGGCCGTCAGGGGCCGCGCTTCCCCGGGTCTTTAAAGTCTCCATTTTGCCCGGCTGGTATGGGCTCAGTGGTTGAGCATCGACCTGTGAACCAGGAGGTCACAGTTCGATTCCGGGTCAGGGCACATGCCCGGGTTTCGGGCTCAATCCCCAGTGGGGGACATGCAGGAGGCAGCGGATCAATGATTCTCTCTCATCATTGATGTTTCTAGCTCTCTCTCCTCTTCCTTCCTCTCTGAAATCAATAAAAATGTATATGAAAAAATAAAATAAAAAATAAGCTCTCCATTTTATTACCAATGATCAGGCCTTTTAAGATGATGCTAGGGAAGCATTTCGCCTAAGCAGGGGCTTAGGGACAGAAAGTTCTACCCGGGGAGTTGCCCTGGCCCCTTCCCTCACTTGGTTTAGACTTTTTTAAAATTAAATTTTAGAGAGAGGAAGGGGGGAGAGAGAGATTTGTTGTTCCCCTTATTTATGCACTGATTGGTTGGTTGTTGTATGTGTCCTGATGGGGTGTGCGTGGGGCAGGGAGGAGGGGGAGGGGGATTGAACCCAGAACCTTGGTGTATGGAGACTATGCTCTAACCAGGTGAGCTACCCGGCCAGGGCCCTCCCCCACTTGCTCTGCAATCGCCCAGTTGACGTTCCTAATACGTTTGAAGGAGGGCCCCTACATTCCATTTTGCTCCAGGCCCTGCAAATTCTGTAGCCACCGTGAGTGCAAGGCGTGTCTTTTAGTAAGGACCCAAACGCATGTCAGGGATGTTCTAAACTGCTCCCCCTTAATATCCGACGGTCCTCATTCCTGTCAGCCCTTTTAATCAGCTGCAGCTCTCCCCTGTCCCACACCTGGCTTTCTGCCTCTGATTCCTAGAATAAAGACCGTAGGTCAGAGGGACACTGATTTCCAGAAAGGCCTTGCAGTGACTCTTCTATGTCCTTTGTCAGCTCCAGGAGGTCAGAGTCTCGCTCCCTCTGCCACAGGGCGACCCCTCCCCCGTCCTGGTCTTCCTGGCACTGAGGGTCCCCAGGATTCGGGATTTTCAGTGCTAAAAACAGAGACATCCTTGGCAAAGCAGGGCAAGTTGGTCACCTGCTTTTACAATTGCTTTTTTTCTTTTCTTTTCTTGTTTTGTCTTTTCTTGGTTACAACCAGTTCATAAAGTTGAGTGCCTCTTTTAGTTTTGCAGTGAACTACTGGTTTTTCTATTGCAAATATTTTTTTCTCCACCAGTTTGCACTTGTTTTAACATGTTGACCCCCCCCCCAAAAAAAGAAAAGCCCTACTAGGGCTAAATCAGTGGTTGGCAAACTGCGGCCCCTTTTGGGTGTGGCTCTTCCACAAAATACCACGTGCGGGCGCGCACATACAGTGTGATTAAAACTTCGTGGCCACACTCAAGGGGCCAAAGAACCATGTGGCTTGCGAGCCGTAGTTTGCCGACCACTGGGCTAAATCATGCTTGGATCTCAGTTTCCCCATCTGGCTCCACCTCCTGGGTTTGCAAAGACGCTGTAGTGAGTTCTGTGCTCAGGATGGTCCTGCGCCAACCAAGACTGTGTTGGCTATTTCTTTTCATACTTTCTGCTCCTTTTCGCTGCTTAAAAGGCCTCCTGTGACTCTAGGCAAATAACTATCCTCTTGGCTGTAAGGTTTTACAGTTCTGTGTTTATATTTGCGTTTGCTTTGGGGGGTGGGGAGGGGGAGTGGTTCAGAGCCCACCAGGCAGCCTCACCCTTATGATGTCTCCACAGCATGACCAACGGCGGCAAGACCACCCTGACCAACAGCCTGCTCAAGGTGCTGCCCAACTGCTGTGTGATCCACCAGGATGACTTTTTCAAGGTGGCCGCCCTCACCTGGGGTCAGGAGGAGTCAGCCCAGGCTACCCTGTCCTCTGCTGCCCACTGTGGGCTGGGCACAGACCCCTCCCCAGTCAGGAGAGCAAGGGATGGGTGTTCTCACTTACTGAGCAGCTACTATGCACCTGGCACGTTAGACTGGCATTAGACTGATGGAGACGCTGCAGTTCCCACAGGGGGTGTGCCACCAGACCAGTGCCACGGTGGCCTTCCAGGCCCTTTCTCCCTCTGTACCTCCACTTTCCCGTCTGCAAAATGGGCTGAGCCTACCCTCCATGCTTTCTGGAGGGTGAGGGGTAATGAGGTGATGGATATAAAGTCTCCTCCCTCCTGGTCCCAAGAGTCATGAGGTGGGGGAGGGGAGTGTCCCAGTGCCAGCCTGAACCCCACCCGGCACCTCAGATCCTGTAAGCATCAACTGCAGAGGGTCGGGGCAGGCAGCCCCGCCAGGCCCTGGGCCCCTCACTGTGGGCTCTCCAGGCCGAGGGGCCCACCAAGATCCAGTCAGCCCAGGGTGGTGGTGAGGCGGGAAGGCGGGCACTGAGCCCGGGGTTCGGGCTCCTCTGTTTCAGCCCCAAGACCAAATCGCCGTTGGGGAGGACGGCTTCAAGCAGTGGGATGGTAAGGATGGCCGGCGGCCCCGCGCCCCTTGCCTGCACTGTCCCCCCTTCCCCCACTCTGCCCACCCCGCTCTCCCTGCCCCCAGTTCTGGAGTCCCTGGACATGGAGGCCATGCTGAGCACCGTGCAGGCCTGGATGAGCAACCCCCAGAAGTTCGCCCGTGCCCACGGGGTCAGCGTCCAGCCGGACGCCTTGGACACCCACATCCTCATTCTGGAGGGCTTCCTGCTGTACAGCTACAAGTGAGTGGTGGCAGGTTCCCGCCCAGACACTCTGGGCCCTCCCAGGGGTGGGGCTCAGCTCAGAGGGCTGGGACAAAACCCCCACTTCTGGGGGAAACTGAGTCCTCCCTCTTGAGCTCAGCCCTCTCAGGCCGAGCAGGGGGTTGGGCTGGACCCCTGGCCTCACTGTGGGACCCCGGCCAAGACATAGCACCTCTCTTGGCCCATCCAAATCGGGGGCTGCTGTGGGGTGTTCCTGGGCCTAGCAGGAGACTGGCCAATGCTGGTCCCCTCCCTGACCCCTACACGAGCAGCCCAGACCCCACCCCACCCCAGCCCTCATCACCCAGAAAAGTCCCCGGAGGCCGAGGCTGGGGGATGTGTGCCTCTGACCCCATGAAGGAAGCCCATAGCGCTGACCGTGTCCTCCATCCCTGCCAGGCCCCTGGTGGACTTATTCAGCCGACGGTACTTCCTGACCGTCCCCTACGAAGAGTGCAAGTGGAGGAGGAGGTGAGCCAGGGGCCCCGTCTGGATTCCCCGGTGGGACCAGGAAACCACCAATGCCCCCTGGACACAGGCCACCCTGAAACCACTTTGGCGGCCAGCAGGCACTTAGCTGCCCATGGTGTGTTCCAAAAGCCCCAGCCAGGGACCTGGAGGCATGGCCCACCTCGGCACTGCCCTAGGCATCTCCCAGGCTCAGGGGGTGGAAATGGCAGAAGCTGGAGCACCCAGACCCCAGCCATGGCCCCTGACTCAGTGGTACTCTCCCTGAACAAGTTCACATCCCCCAGGCTCTGCTCATGGTACCGCCTTGGGCAACATGGGCATCACTCATTCTTGCCAATCTCTCTCCCCAGTACTCGAAGCTACAAGGTCCCCGATCCCCCCGGCCTCTTTGATGGCCACGTGTGGCCCATGTACCAGAAGTATAAGCAAGAGATGGAGGCCAACGGCGTGGAAGTAGGTAAGGCCCTGAGTAGGATGAGTGAGGCCTGGCCCTGGGGGGACCCTGAGCCCAGCCCCTCCCCATGGGGACCAGTTGGGAAACCTGGAAGTCCCTCCTCAAGTCTCACTGCCAATCCCTCTTGCTTTGGACCTCAGAGGCTATTCTAGTCCAGCAGCCTGACTGCAGGTCGGCTTCCTCCTGACCCAGTCTGCCCGGCTCCCTGTGCGCCGGCCGCCTCCTCCTGGCAGCAACCTGGTGGCCAGCAGTTGCGGCCCTGACCGCGGCCTTTCTCATTTCAGTGTACCTGGATGGCATGAAGTCCCGTGAGGACCTCTTCCACCAGGTCCGGGAGGACATCCAGAACTCGCTCCTGAACCACTCCTAGTGGCTGGGGGATGAGGGGGGCCCGACCCCGGACTGGAGAGACACACATACAATTCCGGCCACAGTACGGCCAGGCTGGCGGCGTCCCAGCAAGATACCGCACGACCATTTCCCTTGGTGGATGTCTGTACATATGAGAGTGGAGGCCCCACTCACAGCCCAGCATCTCAGGGCCCTGGGATCCCGCCCTGAGATGCCTCTGTAACCTCACAGCAGCTTAAGTATTAAACCTGATCCTATTTTTTGTAACTGTTGGAGTTCAGCCTGTTGTATTTGAGGTGCCAAAGAGAACCCTCCTGTCCCTTCTCCTTGCTTCATTGGTGGCCTCTGGGGGTGGGGAGAGTGGGGGGGCGGGCACTGAGAGCTCTGGACGGTTAGTCGCCACCTGTTGGACCCATACCAACATGACCCCTGGGGCTGCTCGGGGTTACTTGCGGCTTCAGTTTCCCCAGAGGGGAAATTTCCTACCAGCTTTCTTTTTTTTAAAAATTATTTATTTTTTGGGGGGGGCCCTAGCCGGTTTGGTTCATTGGATAGAGCATCGGCCTGCTGACTGAAGGGTCCCAGGTTTGATTCTGGTGGTTGCAGGCTCGATCCCCAGTGGGGGGCGTTCAGGAAGCAGCCGATCAATGATTCTCTCATCATTGATGTTTCTGTCTCTCTCTCCCTCTCCTTTCCTCTCTGAAATCAATAAAAATATACTTTTTTAAAAAAAGACCCCGAGCCGAAACCGGTTTGGCTCAGTGGATAGAGCGTCGGCCTGCGGACTGAAGGGTCCCAGGTTCGATTCCGGTCAAGGGCATGT